TAATTCTGTTAATCACTTTTGAGGTTTTGTTTTTCTACCTGTAAACTGGACTAGATCCTGAATTCTTCTAGTTTCCTCAAATATTTGGCTACAACTCCCCAAGTAAGGTTTTCAATTTTTCTCTCATTTCTGACTTGAAATCACTGAGAACTAAAGCTGTTGTTTTCTTGAAGATTATGAACTGGAACTGAACAACCTGATATACACTTAAGAGAGCTCACATTTAGATAGTCTTTGTACCTGTTGCTTTGAAAGTCATTCAGAAAGTTTACCTGAATTCCAGATAACATCACTGGAGACATTTCAACCTGCAAAAAATGCTTAGAGCCTAACATCTAGGAATCTCAGCTGGTGACTCTCAGGACTCAGACACTGGGTTTATAATCTGCTCCAAATATCAATCTCTTTTTTTCTTTGTCTCCATAGAAATGCTTCTTATTAAATACCTGGTTGCTTATATTCTGTAGGCCTAACTTTCAGTGCCCACCTATATCGCCGCCTCCTGAAATTAGTAACTGAACCTACCTATTGTTAGGATTAAGAGATTGGTTCAATGAGATGTCAAGCAGTCTATCAACTCTGGACTGTGAAAATTCTAGAGAAAGTTTCAAAGGCAAGACTGCAGGGGACCAAGATGTGCCACCCTAAAATGTCTCTGGCATGCAGATTAGTTCAAGCTGCAAAATGATCAAGGCCCACAAGACCCAGGAAGAAATTCTGCCCTTCCCCCCAACTGCTTAAAAATAATTTAGATAGAGGACTGTTCCTGGAACAATGCTATCACCAGAGATCCTGTAAAATACAGGTTGGGCGAGGGGGAGATTAGAGATTATAGTCCACTTTCTGTCCCGTTGTCTCCACAACCCCCAGCAAACATTTACTTTTCATTTTCATGTCAATTACTTTCCTCCCTTTGAAGTCCTAAACTTCCGTACCAACATTCTTTTTTGTTTTTAGCTGCAGATGGTATTTAAGGTGAGGGTTTTGGCCATTTGGGCGTATACTCAATTTTTCTGGGTCTAAGTATACATGTTTCTTTTCTTTTTAATCTGTCTCATGTCAATTTGGGCTTCCCAGGTGACACTAATGGTAAAGAACCCGCCTGCTAATGCAGGAGATATAAGAGGCATGGGTTTGATCCCTGGGTCAGGAAGATCCCCTGGAGGAGGGCCTGGCAATCCACTCCAGTATTCTTGCCTGGAGAATCCCAGGGACAGAGCAGCCTGGAGGGCTACAGTTCTTGGAGTCGCAGAGTCGGACACAACTGAAGCGAATTAGTATGCAGCACGCATGTCAATTTAATTCTTAGACTAGCCAGAAGAACCTGGAAGGGTAGAGGAGAATTTCTTCCTTCCCAACACTCCCAGGGTTGATAAGACACTCATAACCTTTGGGGACCAGAGAAGGGCAAGAAGGCAACCCTGGCCAGTTAACAGAGGTGACGTATATAGTGCTTGGGGATAAGACGTTTGGGGCTGGAGAATATGAAACCTCAAAGGAAAATGAACTGAGAATAAGGGATTTAGAAGTTAGGAAGGACTGCTGAATCTTCTCATGTCAAGGGATTAATTTGCAAGAGATTTTCAAAACAACACACACAAGTATCTATCAAAGCATCTGGAAACTTTCTGAGGAGGAATCACAAAGCAACTCAGGGTTAAAAGTAATACCTACAGTGAAAAGGCCTTAACCTTTCAAATCACTCAAGAAAGAAGGATGAGAAATCTGAAGCCCTGGAAAACTAGCTTCTTAGGAATCACAGTAGACAGACAGAAAACAAGATAAAAAGTTTCTTTTTGTTGTTTTTGCTTGTGAAATGCATGCAAGGTACACTTTCCTCCTCAGGGGGAAAAAGAAGGAGCTTCTTTTGTACAAGGCATTCAGGAAGAGGGGGACTTGAATGAGAAGAAAAGATTCCAATTCAGATGCTGCATGTAACCCCAGCCCCAAAAGAGAGGAAGGAGGTCAGGAGCTGCCTAAGTGAAAGGTGGCCCAGTCCCCAAGAGAGAGGGGACAAACAAATCCTGAAGGAAAAACCACAGTTAGGGAGGAGGATGTACAAATGAGGTACCTTAGAACACCTCACATTCCTTCTGTTTCACTGGGACCACTTTGTTTATAACTAGGGACTCAGGCAGTAGCCACCGAATGTGGCTAAATGAAGAAAAACACAAGTTGCAGAAGGAACCTGTCAAAATGTATGTATGTACACTCACATGTGAGTGTGGAGAGATGCATTTTACTTAGAATTATAAGGATACCTGTCCACTGTTACCAGGGCTTTGGGGCAGAGAAGAGGGGTAAAGACAAGAGGAGGCTTTCCTGGTCAACTCTCTTTGCATACTGACTCTTTTACTTCGAGAATATGGTCATTTACTTATAAAATAAGAAACAAAGAAAAGAGGGAAGGAAGGAAGACAAGAGAGAAAAATAACCAAGCAAATCACAAAAGGAAGGTAACAAAACCAAGTTTTAATCCCTCCCATTCCCGTTAACTCCCTACTCCTACTGATATGCTCGCTCTAGAGAAGGGAGAAAGGCTTTTCATTTAATTAAAATATAAAAGATTTTCTTTTTTTACTGCCTGGTGGCTAGGGATATTCTGCTGACTTAGCAGTGAATAATCAGCTTTGACCTAAATAATAGAGTAACTCAAAGTGGCAGTTGCAGTTGCATAAGCTTGAGCCAAATCTGCAGTTTCTTCTCTCTCCCTCTCCTCCCCCCATCACTCCCTCCAGGCTCTGAGCAGGCAAGCCAGTTACAGCAGATTGTTTCTACCTCTTCAACCGCATCTGGTTATTCCTTCCATCATTTCTCATCTGATCTTTTCCAAAACTCTAGAGTGTCTTTGTGCAAGGAGTCACCCAAGTAGCCTTAGTGAGTTTGGGGAATGCAAAGAAAGCAGTGGGGTCTGGCTGCCTGAGGAACTCTATTCTGAGGCCAAGGTTCTCTCTGGGGGAACAGACTGAACAGTCTCAGGGTTCTTGACTTCTAGATGAAGGGTAAGGGTGGCCTCTAGTCTGAGACACTTAAGCAGTATCAGCAGGAAAAAGGAAGCCATGTCTGTGTGTACAAGACGCTGACACAGCAGTGGCCAGCACTCTGTGTTCCCCCTTCCCACCCCCACTAACCTGTCTGATGGCAGAAACAGCTACTCTTCCCGCATTCCCACACCCCCTTCCCCCTCCTCTTACCTCCCGCAGCTCCAGATCCAGCAGCAAGCAAGGACCAAATGACTATGCTTGTGACTATCCTCAGTGACTAAACAGGACCACGAGGTGCCCCACACTGTGGTAAGAACACTCTTGTCTCAGGCAATCCTTGCCACAGCAACCTATAGCACATGCACGATTGCACCCCCATCTCACAGGAGGCAGCTGGTGACCTGGTCAGGCACTGGCTGCACTTAGAAAGTGGTGTGGAGATGCAGACTCAGGCAGCATGGTTTGGGATCCCACATCCCTCTGCCCCCAAATTCATGAGCACAAGGAATATGCTCCAAACAAGTACGTTGACCTCACAATACCACTTGCCTAGATGTGGAGTCTATTCCAGGGCTGAACACCACTGCAAAAGAGGGCAAACCTGCCAAGAAGACCACCACTCAGGCCCCACCCCAGCTCCAGGGTGGGTGAGTGAACCCCTCCTTCCCCTCCCCACCAGCAGAACAGAAGAAAGTATCAAGATCTGGGAAAGAGTGTGACCAGGATGGTCAGTGCCTTTAGCTAAGTGACGTGTGTTGGAAGGTATGGGAAGACAGGGACAAAGCTGATTCTAGAAGAGGAACCTCTGAAATAGTCCAAATATTTACTTTAGAAATTAGGTTTTTTTTGGTTAAAAGATATATCCCAATCCATTGAGATCCCTGATGACCAGAGATTAAGTGTTGAGACTTCTAGAAATGCAGATTGCCAAGCTTCTATAAAACCTCTCTAAGAAACTTCCCTGGTGGTTCAGTGGTTAAGACTCTGCGCTTCCAATGGAGGGGTCATAAGTTCAATCCCTGGTCGGGAAAGTTCTGCATACTGCGTAGCACAGCCAGAAAAACAAAATAGCCTCTCTAACCTACTGCAGCTCATAGGGACCTTTTCCCCTTCTCAGATTTTTTGCTGCAATTGAATTCCAATCATGGAATCTGCCTATATGACTTTTCTACCTACTTAGAAACTACATGAAAGGTGGAGACCATGGGTGCAGCATTTGTTTTCTCCCAACTCACACCTTTACACTCTCCTTACTGAAAGGTTTAAGATGTGAGCTGGCAGGTGGAGGTAGAGGTGGAGAGGCCAGAAAAATCGTCCCACGAGTGGCAGGGAGCCTCCAGCGTGGTGCGTGTGCTGTAAAGAGAAGGAACAATGTTGGCTAATTCACTTTCCTGGCTCCACTTCCTTTTCTGCTCAAGGAAAATGTAGCACTGGCCCAGCTTACCTTACGGATTTGTTGTGAGGCTTGGATCAGATAATACATATGTAAGTGCTTCGTATACAAGTAAACCCTGCCAGTGAAAATTACACTTCTTCTGAACAGCTACTTAAGTTTCTTCTTTTTTTAAAAACCAGATAATCATATATGGAGGGCTTCCCAGGTGGTGCCAGTGGTAAAGAACCCGCCTGCCAATGCAGGAGACATAAGAAACACGGGTTTGACCCCTGGGTTGGGAAGATCCCCTGGAGGGCGGCATGGCCACCTGCTCCAGTATTCTTGCCTGGAGAATCACATGGACAGAGGAGCCTGGTGGGACTCGTAAAAAGTCGGACACGACTGAAGCGGCTTAGCATAGCACAATTATATGTGGAATCCATTTGTCCACAGCAGGCGTATTGGAAATTGAAAAGTAACAAGGCATAAAAATAAAAGGAGCAGAGGAAAATAAATATATAAATAAAAGGAGGAGAGGGAAAAAAGTAAATAACTAAAAGGAGAGGAAAGAAACAGGGAGAGAAGGGAGAACCAGATCATGAGGAAGACACTGTCCTGAGCAAGGCCCAGTTGGTACTTACATAAGCAGAGGGCAGCGAGGAGGCGAAGGCCAGACTCTGGGGGGAAGCAGGTGGGGAAGAGCGGTTGCAGCACGTAGTTGGAGAAGGTGAGGGCGATGACAGCCTGGTTGGTGGGGTAGATCACCAGCACCGCGATCCACAGCCTCAGGAACCTGCGGGGGAACCAGATGGAACTTGAGCCAAGATAGGAATTAAGACCCCCGTGCGACCCCACTGCCAGGCATGGCAGGGATTCAGAAGCCATCAGGGAAGTCTGGGCAAGTCATCGAGCAGTGTTAAGAGAGGCAGGTGGGCTAAAGGGATGTGTTTCCTTGTTGTTTGCTGGGATGCTGAGGAGATCAGCCCCCGCTTGAACGAGACACCTAGCTCTCTGTGCTGACAGTAAACTGGTTTAACAATGAAGCACTATTTCAACTAGTTCCGACCCATGTCTTAGCGTTTCTGCTCCTTTCATCGTTTCATCATCTCTTCTCTACCACCCCGGCCCCCAGAAGCCACTGGTGGAAAAGAAAATCTGCAACCCCAGAATCTTCACAGTCAGGGCATGCTAAGGGTGTGGCCAGTTACATGAGTGTCAAGAGGGTGTAGTGAGTGAAGTTTGAAGGGGAAGTGTCCCCATACCCTTGGGCTCCTTGGTTAGAACTGAGCTCTTCAGTATCTGGGCTGTGGGGGCTGAGAAAATCAGAGACACCACTCACTTATTTTTCAGGATAAAAGGGCTTTGTTTTTGTGATGTGCTTTCCCTGGGCATCTCCAATCAGAGTTGTCCTTTAGTTCTACTTGTTCTCACTCATAGAATCTTGCTGTCTATGGTCAACAGAAATTAAGGGAATTCCCTGGTGGTTCAGTGGTTAGGACTCCACACTTTCACTGCCAAGGGCCCAGGTTCAATCCCTGGTCTGGGAACTGAGATTCCGCAAGCCACAAGGTGCAGCAAAGCAGAACAAACAAAAACCCTAAACAGAGATTAAAACTACAGTCTGGTTCCTCTGTCACTGTGAGGGGTACACAGGCTGAACTGGCAACCGTGACGTGGAGGAACCCCAAGCTCGCACCCTCCTCAGCACACTGGACAGCCCTGGCCTTGGCTTCCCAGACCATTTAGTCCCCCCAGTATTCTCTTACCCAGCCAGGCCTCCAAAGATGTCCTTGACATAGGAGTAGTCACCTCCAGATTTGGGGATGGTGACCCCGAGCTCAGCATAGCACAAGGCTCCCACAGCTGTGATGAGGCCTGTCACAATCCAGATGATGAGAGCCACGCCCACAGAGCCGGCATTCTCTAGCACACCTTTGGGTGAGACGAAGATTCCAGAGCCGATGATGTTCCCTGTGAAAAGCACCGAGAGTAGTGGGGAGAAAAGGGAGTCAGCACAGTTGGCAGGCCGCAGCACGGTGGAGGTGCTCTCGCCTTTGATCTGAGGCAAAATGCCTTTGGGGTGCACAAATCCCCTCCAGGTATGCAGGTATATCTAGCAATAATTCTCCTTAGCAGGGGAAAGAGCAGCAGACAATGGACATGGAGATCAGGAACTTGTCAGGTATTTTACATGTGTCATGTAAGCGTCAGGAGAAGCCGATGGAGTCAGACATCATTTCTCCCATTTTACAGAGGAAAGTGCATTGCCTAAGTCTACACAGTAGTAAATGGTAGTGCAAACTGAACTTCCAGGGCGCTCCGACTGGGCCAAACATAGTCTAACCAGGGTGGTGACAAATGCCTTACTTAAGGCTAGCTGGAAAAGGAAGAGCTATAAAATGTGCAATTAGAAAGCTTTAAAAATGAGCTGAAGGGTAATACCTTTGGACAGACTGTGGTCATACCCTGTGTCTGGGGGTTTCCAAGACCCACAAGTATGGACAGCACTCCTGGAGGCTGGCCTCTACCCGACACAATAGCCCCACCCTTGGTGAAGAGCATGAAATAACCCTAAAAAAAAAAGCTCTTGTAGTTTAGAAGTGGTTTGTCTGGACGCAATACGTGCAAAGCCTTAGCTCTACATTCTTCCAAAGGTCATTCCCCTCCATTGTTTCATGTGCCTCTCACAACAACTTCACTGAATTCAGGAGAAAGGGCAGGTGTTCCTATTTCACAAACCAAGAGACTAAGACACAGAGGGGTTAAGTGGCTTTCTCCAAATTCCACAGCTACTGATGGGTAAAATTGGATCTAGAAGTCAGTCTCCTGAAGCTTAATCCAAGGGTTCTTTCCACTAATCCACATCGGTTCTGTGTATAAGGGGCTGGCCTGCTCTCAACAGGTGAGGCTGGCCCCAGGGACTGAATGTTGGCTGCTGGGATGTGTGTTGGGGCAGGGGAGGAACAGGAGTGTGGGGGCAGCTCCTGGGACGTTTCTTCCCAAGCTCTCCTTCGTCCCAAGCTCTCCTTTGTCCGTATCTTATGATTCCAGGGGTCAGGGTCCAAGGGTCGGGTGCTTTGAAAGCTCCCTCTTCCTCTTCACGCCCCACCCCGCTGCACCAATGAGGGCCTGGGGGGAAGAAGTAGACACTAAATGGATCCAAGGCAAAATGCAGAGCTGGAGTACTAGAGGCCAGTTGGATTTGACTGCTCTGAATTCCTACCATCTCTCTTTAGTGGTCTGGAACCAGTTCTGGGCTAATTGAGATGCAGACTATGGGATTTTATGCTCAAATTTAGAAAACGGACTTTAGATCTCAATCACAGCTCAGCCTCATTCCAGTCCTGAAAACTTTCACTTCTAAACCAAAATTCAATTTTTAATTCCAGACTGTGCATCAAGGTTATTTTAGTTATAGAGAAAGAGAATATTCCCATCCTGAAAGCAGTAATATTTCATTCTTTGGGGATGTAGAATATGCTGCCACAAGCTAAAGAACTGCTCCTTGAGATGAGTAACAAGGGAGAGGAGGGGCCAGGAGAAGACTATCAGCAGCCGGGAGGCTGAAATACCAAACTGGAGAGCCTAGGGCCACAGCTAGATTGAAACGCAAAGGCGGCACATTTACGACAAACAGGCCTTTTTTCTCCTGGTGTTAAGCCATCGGAACAGAATAGGGCTACCTAGAGAAGTGAAAATAAAAGAAGAAACAATCCCTCATGTTTAAATTTGTGATCTGAACATCAGGCAAAGAGAGAGACAAAAATGAAATCCTGGGTGCCCCCAGTTCTTAAAGGCTTTTCCTTTTTTTTTTTTTTTTAAGTCCAAGACTTGGAATGAGAAGCTACCTCTCAACCCCCTTCTCAACTCATCCCCCATGTATGCTATGCATGAACGCTGGGTCAGCAAAGACTAAAGGGCCTCCTGGTAGCATCCTAGGACGGTCAGCGTCAAACGACCCTTCACCTGCCACAGTGAATGTGAGATGGGGTTGCTGATAGTGCTGGAAAGTAACAGTAAACTCCTTGCCTGGCAGGAATTTATCAGAAGAGTCATCTGTAGGGCGTTTTAAAGCCAGCCAGAAGAGAGCAATAGAAGGTTATAAAACTAGCTCAAGGGATTGGAAAAATAATCAGTATGGGAGAAAAACAGGCTTTGACTTTGGTTTTTAAGATGCCAAAAGGGGTTGTGGGGCGATAGCCAGGAATTTCTCAGGACCAGGAAAAGGCTGTGGATGTTACTGAAAAGATCTCATTTTCTCAGTAATGAAGAGTGTCCAAATTCTACTTCAGGGTTCTTAGAAAACACCCCAGTGGAGATGCGTGAGCACTTTGGTTCTCCTGCTTTTGCTCTGACATTTCCAGAGCACGTGCCCCACCCCATCATCCCAGATGGAGGGTGGGCGGTCCAAGACCAACAGCCCTTTCTTGGGGTCTGACTACTTCCCAGCTCCACTGGTTCTTGGATAATGTGTCCTTCCATGGAGCTGCTATAACAGATGGTGAGGCCTGGCACTGGGACAAGAGTTCTCCCCATCAACCATCTTGATTTTGACCAAATTAAAATGACAAAGATAAAAATAGGGGGAAAAAAACCAAAGACTTTCTTGGCTGTCCAGTGGTTAAGACTCCATGCTTCCACAGCAGGGGGTATGGGTTTGATCCCTGGTTGCTGCTGCTAAGTCACGTCAGTTGTGTCTGACTCTGTGCAACCCTACAGAAGGCAGCCCACCAGGCTCCCGCTCCTGGGATTCTCCAGGCAAGAACACTGGAGTGGGTTGCCATTTCCTTCTCCAATGCATGAAAGTAAAAATTGAAAGTGAAGCCGCTCAGTCGTGTCCAACTCTTCGCGACGCCATGGACTGCAGCCTACCAGGCTCCTCTGTCCATGGGATTTCCCAGGCAAGAGTACTGGAGTGGGTCGCCAGTGCCTTCCTGTGATTCCTGGTAGGGGAACTAAAAATCCCAAATGTCTCATAGCATGGCCATAAAATTTTGGGGGCTTCCCTGGTGGCTCAGTGCTGAAAGAATACACCTGCCAATGAAGGAGACACGGGTTCAATCTCTGATCCAGGAAGATCCCACATGCCTCTAAACCCGTGCACCACAATTATCAAGCCTGTGCTCCAGAGCCTGGGAGCCGCAGCTACTGAGTCCGTGTGCTGGAACTGAGTCCATGTGCTGAAGCTATTGAAGCCCACGTGCCCTAGAGCCCATGCCTCACTAGAGAAAAGCCCATGCAGCAACAAAGACCCAGCACAGTGAAAAATAAAATTTTTAAAAATAAATAAAAAGTGAAAAAAAAATTGAATTATGTTAACCAAAACTGAGAACTGGGGGATGGGAAGGAGAGGAACATCTCGCCCCGATTCTAGGAAGCCACTACCTAGAAAATCTAGGTATCAGAATCAGATGTCTCTTCCTTAGCAGCCTCTGGAACGACTACAGGAAGACGAATGTCACTCAAAGCACAGCTATGTACCGGAGCCGAAAGAATACTCACACTACATTTACTTAAAAGTCATGCCTTTTATATACAATCTTTAGTGTAATTATTTGATTAACATATATCTTCCTCACTAGACTGTAAGTTCCATGAGGCAGACACTGTATTGTTTACCTGTGGAATGTCACAAAGTATTAAGAAGTACTCTATAAGTATTTATCGAATAAATAATGTTTGATGTCAGTCTACAGCTTACCTCCATGGAGCAGTTTAATACACCTGTTTATCTGGAACCTCCAAAACCTGTGAAATATGTCAAGTGTGTATTGTAGGCAAATCAGTAAAGCAACCCATTGCTGAGAGTAGACTGGCTGGTATTACCATCTCTACTTTATAGGGAAAGAAACTAGGGCAACCATTATTCTCATTTTTCCAAATGGAGAAAATGAAGGAGGTATTATTTCCTCTATTTTACAGATGAAGAACCTGAGATGCAGAGAGGTGGTTATTTGCTTAAATCACAGGGTAAATTAGCAGTCACCGTCATAGCCTCAAGCTTTTCCCTGAAAATTGTCAGTTTTACATGCTCCACCCTATAGACAATGAGAAAGGTTCACAGAAGTTGCTTATTAAAGAACTGGAACACAGATCTGATTCTTTCCTTCTATTGCAATACCACCTTCAGCGATGAGTTACAAAAGATTCATGCCTATTAACTTACTTGATTCTCACAACTACTTTCTTGGGTGTACAGGTCAGGCACTCTCATCCCTATTTACTGTTGTGAAGACTGAGGTTCAGAGAGGCAAAGAGCCATGATCAAAGTCACATATTGCATTAGGTAGCAAGGCCTGGATGAGAGGCCATGTCCTTGGACTCCTGGCCCAGAGCTTCTTCCTACTGAGCTGCCTCGCCTTGAGAAATTACCCAACACATACCTTAACTGCAGGGCTTTTATACTGTCCAAGTGAGGCTTTTCTGGAATGGCTTTGAAAAAGGAGAACTGGGGAAAGGCTTTTCTACATTTGACTATGAACCTTTCTTGATGAGAGGTTGGAAGAAAGTTGATTACAGCAGGAATTTTTTTCTCCATTGTTTTACTCTTAGACTCATCATCTACAAAGCCACTTAAGAACAAGATGCCCGGAGAAGGAAATGGCAACCCACTCCGGTATTCTTGCCTGGAAATCCCATGGACAGAGGAGCCTGGCAGGCTATAGTCCATGGGGTTTCAGAAGAGTTGGACACAACTTAGCCACTAAACAACCACCATCCATCCATAGTCCATCCATAGTTAGAGGTAATTTGTGTTACTCTTTTGGAGTGATGCTAAATAACCTGTTTGTTAACATGTGAATTCAAAGCACTAACTGATTTGCTCTTGGAGCATCTGAAGCTTCCAGTCTGAAGAATTCTCAGGTTTCTCAAGGAAGAGGCATGAAGTCAAGTCAAGAAGTCCCCCAAGGGCCAAGGTCAGAGGGGTCAGAACCACGAGAGAGTGATCCTTGAGCAGATGCCCAGGATGG